TGCTGGAGATAAACATTACGAACATGTGCTTTCGGTTCAATATTGCCGGTTTCACCTCGTGAAAAATGCTTTGTTTTGTGGCGAGCTGTAACCACCAAAGCTTGCGGGAAACTTGCAGCTTCTTCAGGTTCCCAAAGAAATCAATAAAGATATGGGAAAAACTTTGCAGGTATGATGTTTTATTTAAAAAAACACTTCTCAAAATATAACAGAGGAATGTCGGGTTATACACTGTCCTTTCAATCGTACGCCTATAACATGTTACCTAATGCCTGAAATTGAATTCAGCTTAAGAATACAGAGTTATCAGTGTTGTATTTCACTTTTTAATATATTCTGATTCATTGTAACAGTGGTCTTTTATAGTCAACTTAAAGTTATCCCGAATTATCACCCACGAGAGCACGGGTGGAGAGGGGAGGTGGATCTACAAGAGCTATGAAATAGAAAATAATAGTACTCGGACATCAAATCTTTGTCTAGATTATATTTACACGTATAATTAGAATATAATATATTTAATTCAGGAGACAAGATAGGACAGTAACTGCAGCTGACAGAATATGCAGCTGTCATTTCAAAGATGGAAAAAAAGAAAATGGACCAACTATCTTGCCTTGGAATCAAGGGCAGTATTTTGACTTTGGAGACCCTAATGCTATTTCAAGGTATGTTTTGAATATTTTTGTGTCATTATTTTGAGACATCATTTTACCATGCAATTTATTCAATAACAAAATATTTTCTATCAACAGCTAATATAAATTTATGAAGTTAAAAAAATCTGACAGAATATATGTAAAAATTTGAAGTAGTTAGTTATAAGCAAATTATGTAACACATACAGACAGTGCAAACAGAGCTCATCTGTAAACCAGGGAGAAGAAAATGCGGTTATGGTGAAAGAGACAGAGGCTGCACAACCAATTCAATCATTTAGTGAGGGTTTTGACCATGACCAGCATCTACTGCGACACGGGACCGTTACAAGCACCTACTGCGATAAAGAGTCAAATTTATTAAAACAAATCCAAGTGAGTATAAAAATTTCAGTAGTACATGTATTTAGTATTGTAGTACTTAAACTCTGTTTGTGTACAATGTTGTAAAAAAAACAGTTACACACTTATATGGTTTTTGAAGGAAATGGAACAACAAATTGACAAGCTGACATCAGAAATAGCTATTCTTAAGACTAGGAAACAACCTTTCACCATAAGCCAGATCATCAATGATGAAAAGAAGGTATCCATTTTTTTACTGACTGATACATTATTTGTTCCAATGTAGCTCCCTCTGTGAAGTGGTTAGAGCATTGTGAAATAAGGAGTTGATCCTTACCTCCCGGGTTCAAATCCCATAGCGGGATGGAGACCAGTCCTTCAGATGAGACTGTAAAAACAGAGGTCCCAGTAAGTGCTGCCATGAAAAACATCCCTCACTGCTCAAAGGCCATAAGTGCCGAGTATAGTCAGAATTTGTAGCCCTCCACTGGCAAGTGAAGGCATCTCCATATAAGTGAAAAATTCATGAGAGCGATGTTAAACAACAATAAGTCCTTGTTCAAATCGCATATACTGTATAAACTCACTTATAAGTAGATTGATTTTTGGGAGTTAAACTTTGGTCCAAATCTCTTCATCCAACTTATACCATGTTATACGTGAGTTATAAAAAAAAAAATGATTTTTGCAGGTCAATCCCTCTAAATAATTCAACCTTAAAAAATACGACCGTTTTCTATGCAATTATATACAGTATGAGAAATTATTTTACCTTTATAACAAACTAGAACAACTACATTCCATAAATTCATATTTTATTAGATGCTGATGTACACCTCCTTGAAAGCAGACATGTTTAGAGTAGTGGACTCAACTATTCAGAGATTTCCATTAACATATGTCAACAACTGGACACCAGCAGTGATTTCAAGAACTGACCAGTTATTAATGACACTGATGAAATTGAAGCTAAACTCTCCCAATTAGATTTAGCTGAGAGGTTCAACACAAGTAAGACAACAGTGCAAAATATTGTGGTTACACATATTTTTGCTTTGCATGAGGTGTTCTTTGAGGGCATGATTGAAAATAACATTCCCTCCCTCTTAAAGTGCAAGTCCTCTATGCCGACAAGTTTTGGTGATTTTAATTGTTGCCGTCTTGTGATCGATGCGACAGAGGTGACCCAAGACGTTCCAGGGCAGGATATGTTAGCACAGTCTCAAACTTATAGCTCATATAAAAACAGGCACACCGTAAAATCTGTTACAGGCGTTGCCCCTAACGGAGCTGTGGTATATGTAAGCAAACTTTACCCAGGAAGTACATCTGATGTGGCCATTGTTGAACACAGTAAAATGCTCTGCCAGTTGAAACCAGGGGATATGATTCTGGCTGATAAAGGTTTTACTATTCACTCTCTCCTTCCAGCAGGTGTGCATCTCAACATCCCTCCTTTCTTGAAAGACAAAGGACAATACACTCCTGCCGAAGTGCAACTGTGCAGAAAAATTGCCAGATCTCGTATCCATGTAGAGCGGGTAAATGAAAGAATTAAGAACTTTGAGATATTATCTCACATTCCTCACAAGTTTAGACATTTAAGCACGAAAATTTTTCAAGTATGTTCTATACTAGTCAATTTTCAAGATCCAATGATTGCAGAGATTGCAGATAATTACATTCAGGCTCAAGATTTAGACACTCATTAATATATGATATAAGAATGTAGAGGTGGAGCAAATGTAATTTATTTCATGAGAGGTTCCAAGTATTTGTAATTGTGTTCAGCTTTAACATATATTTCTTTTATGATATTCATACCCTAAATTGATATTGTAAATGTAAGTGTAACAAAGTTTTGACAAACCCAACCTTGCTTCAAGTAGAGTGCTATGTATAAGTGCCAGGAAAATAAAGGTTGTATTATATGTATCATAAATCTTGTAAACAACTTTGAAAAGAGCATTTTAAGGTAAATAGTATGTTGTCATTGACCTTTACAAAGATTCTTTGAAAATACTCCATTTATCATTATTTTTTGCAAAAAAGCATGTATATTTTAAATTCTATAATATCATGAAAGCTAGAAAATTTTACATATGTTATGGTAAATTTCTATTCTTTATCCATTTTTTTTTTAATACATTGAGTCATTAGTCTCTTTGGATAACGGAACAGTACAACTGTTATGAAATAATTCTTTGACAAAATGATGTCCAATATTTACATGGAATATGTGAAATACCAAAAAATGTAGTTCCATATTGTACATAAAATTTACATGTATTTTTTCATCACTTCGTCTCTTGTTTACTTGCATATTAGGCAAAAAAAAAATTAATTTCTTGGTTCTCAGGCCCTCCCTCATCTCTTCCAAGGGTGCCTCATTGACCCTTTCTAATGCTAAATCAATGAAATATAAACACCAAATCACCTCCCTCATCATTTTTTGAGGTTTTGTACAATGAAACAGCTGCCTCATCATGTTTTGGGGGCAATAAAAAGTTTTAAAAATTGCCTCCCTCTCTCATCATATTTCTTGAAAAAAAGTCCGAGAACCAAGGAGTTAACTTTGCATGGCCTTACAGGTATTTAGATAAAAAAAAAGCATATACAGTCAAAAATTTATTACACAGTTTATGATATATATATATATTTAAAAAGACATTTGAACAGAATACTTAACTTATTTCTTCTACAGTTCTGAAAGAAATCTTTCACTGTATTAATAAATTATATTGTGTATCTTTAAGTGGTAAAAAATACTGAAATACACTACAAGCAAAAATCAATCAATACAATACAAAACTCAAGAAATAATTATTCATGATTATGTGTAATGATGAGAAAACTTTCAGAAATAATTCAGAAAACAAAGTATAACTTCTGTTGTTGGTTTCCAGCTTTACCCCGAGTACATATGTATAACAATAAGATTCCTTATAAATAGTGCCTCATGATTACTGAAAATAAGCGGTTCAAGTCAAGTCCCAAAATATTCAATGTAGCAGGTATACAAGTCTGACATTGCCCTACAACTCACTGTATTATTACATAAACATATAACATATTTGTATGTGTATAAATTGGGATTACTGGTAATCACTAATCAAAAACTTCAATTTAAGTCACTCATAAAAAACCTACCGTATATCAGTACAAATATACAAAATTGCCTATATGATGTCATACTAACCAAATGTCAGTCCTGAACAATATTTGGGATTATTTTACAAAAGTAAAAATCGATGAGTTTTGACATATTTGGGGTCCAGGTGCTGTCCTGAAGAATTCTCACAATAGCTATGTCTTTCGTAGTCCACACTACAAAGTCACATGATGACCTGTTAAGTATGTGCAGCTGTCCTTGCACCTGATCGTAATATCTGTGGCCCTCCTTTAATTTGTAGAACTTCCTTCCTTCATATATTTGGTAATCTGAGACATGAAATAATAAACTTTGTATTAAATATGTACCATTCCTTAAACAAGATTTCATATTTTGCGGAAATTGTACCTTAAAACTAAAACCTACCCCAAGCAAAAGTCTTTAACAGATTCTATGTCCTCGGGAATTGACATATTCCTTGCACTAAATGGGCACTTCACCTCCAAAACTTCTGGTTTAACAGCCATGCACTCGAGTAGGTCTGTTAATTCTACATCCTGGTAGTTGTAATTGTGTGTCGCTGCGCGTCGAATAATTCCATCAGGGCTGGCTCCCAATATGCCACTCTCATGCAGCCATACACCTGTAATAAATATGTTTGGTGTTTTTCACGTTCAATTCCAATATTTAAAATTGTTTAAATTAATTCTTGTCCTTTAAGATGTTTGAAACCTGTGGGCTATATTATAAATTACACATAAGCACATGCACTTACCAGTTTCTTCTACAATAGCATCTCCAAATGAACAGTATTTTGTCCTAGCAGTTGACTCATTACTGATCCCCCATAATATGGCATCCTTTGTCGAGAGATTGTATGAGGAAAAGATTTGCTTATATAATGATGGTGGGAATCTGAAAAATATATCAATAGTTCCTCAGTTGAAAGTAAATTATACATTTAACTTGAACAAGGTAATATACCTGTATAAGATATGTGAACTTTACTTTTGGATGAGAAAAAAAGTACTACCTCTGTCTTCTTATTGCAGACAGTACCACACCAAAATTTGATGCAGTTAATCGATTTTTTTTAACCAAAGTCCAAAGATAATTTGTTCGTTGACCACATGTCATTTGTGCCACCTGCAAAATAATATAGTTGGTACTACATGTATTAATATAGTTTAAAAAATATTTTGTGTAAAAATGATATATGGATAATATTCATAATTTTCAATTTAATATTTATTTTAATGTCACATATATTTTTTTTTTCTTTGAAGACATGTCAAGTACAATATTTACAAAATGTAATCCCCTCTCTTGAAAGTTAATCAGTTGAAATATGAGTGTTGTGCCATCATTATTAAAAAATTGATTTGTATACTCTGACCCACATTTTTCAAAATGGGTTTGTATTTACTGATGTGTGCATTATACACTTGACATCTAGACATATTCATTACTGTTTCAATCTTAAAATATCTTAAGGAAGTGATTCATTTTACATTTAAAATAATGATTAGGTGATCTGGCCAATCCGTATTTTCAACAGAGACTAAAAGAAAGGAATAAAAATGAAAGCACCCCCCCCCCAAAAAAAAAATAATAAAGAATGGGTAGGGTCTGATTTAAAGTATTTATTATTCATAATTATTCTAGAGTATACTTATATAAATGTCCTACTTGTTCTATCTGCTGCTTCGATACATGGAGGTTTGTCTTAAGCCACTGCACTTTATTGGTCGCACTTGTGTAACCTTCCGTTAACAGAAGATCCTCTACGCATGGAACATCCACTTTGGGAGCAGGGAGTTCTCAGAAACTATCCATTGCATGGCTAACAATTTGAATAGAATTAATAAATTATAAATGTATGAATGATTGAAATGAGTATATTTTATTAATCTAAAATGATACAGTAGTTATGGTTTGATTTTAATAATAAAATGGGTTATACTTAATTAGTCTATCAAATAACAATACTTTAACATTTTCTCAATATACAGTATATGCAAACACTTTCAATGGATATCTGGTACACTTTGCTTTCAATATGCAGGAAAGTCTGATAGTGCTCAACTTCATTTCAACAAAAACTGAATGAAAATATTTTGTTAGTCTGGTCACATAACAAAATAAGGAAACATGTATAACCATTTTCAATTAACCAAAGAACACAACATGTTTCAACATTTTTTTTTTCAAATCAAGACCTGAAAATCGACCAAGGTCATTCAGCTTTTCCCGTAAGAAATTTATATCTCTCTCATCAACTGATCTTGATGTTGCCCTGTCAGTGTAATGTAATTTAATCTTATTGGAATAGAATGCAGAGGGATTTTAAAAAAATCTATATCACTTGTTTTTTTCTTCACATTCACATAATTCATGTATACCTATAATTTGCTAGTTTTGGTGTTGGAGGAAATAAGTCATCCATGGTCATCGTTTTCTTTGGGGGTCCACTCTTTGGGTGTTTTATCCAAGATTCTCTTACATCCGTCTTAAGCTACTAACATTCTTGTACCTAAATTAAGATGAATAACATTTATAAAATGAAGGTAAAAAATCATTTATATTTTTTATTGTATTAAAAAAATACATACCCATATAACAGAAGAGAAGCTTTGTGGTGGCACTTATCCTTGCCATTAACACAGTCACAGATACTGTCTTCAACCGTGTAATTATCCCCAAGTGTGATCTAAATGCAACACGAAATATTGAAAATAATGTCGTTTTGTACTTATATATTATTATTATCAAATATCAAACTATTTGATACATACGTTAATATGATAGCTTCTATCCCTCATGCTGGCTTGCACCCTTCCCTGGACGTGTCTCAGCTCAGGATCGTACCGGAATTTAAGTACGTGTTCCGATTTCACGGCCACTTCAGACTTCTGGTGAAGCTTTTTAGTCCCGGATACAAAATTTAACCAATACAGAATGGACAATGCCATTCTGTATCAGTAAAAACAAGAAATCTATAATGCCTATGTATATGCGAGGATTTGTTTATCTCCAGAGGTTCAATTCACGCCAAATCTCGCGAACTCTCGCACTTCCGCTTTCTCGCCCTATTGATATCATCTGCATTCAAACGAATTTAACATGATTAAGTACAAATGTTGACGTTTTGTGTATTGGGGTGCAGTAAAGGAAAATCCACCAAATCATACGTCATCGCTGCAAAATGTCAAACATAATACCTTTTTGTAGTTCCAATACAATTTGCACTTCAAATGGCAATAAATTTTATGTGTCATATGTGCATTTTAACGTTGAGTTTACACTGATTTTTTTCTTTGAAAGCCATGGAGATACGAGAGATGATAGCATGTATCAACAAACCTGTAGTGTAGAATCTTCGCGAGCCCCACGTGAATGTCGCCGAGATCCCGTTTCTTCTTCATCCAATGATTATATTAATCTCCCAACTAAATTTTTGTCAGCAAAGTTTCTTTTTTTAATTTCAAGCCCTATTTTTGGTTTTGGTTTTCGTTTTGGTCGACTTTGTCAATGTAGCAGGCCTACCGGGCTTCCCTCTATCTCACCATGCTGTTTTTTTTTTATGAGAACTATACGCATGCTCGATGGCATGGAATGTCGAACCTTAAACACGTTGCGATGTATATATTTATGGACCATAAATAATTATTAATTTTAATGAAATAATCAGAATTACTTACTTGTGAAATTTGTAATTTTCTGAGTGTATACATTTATGAGTATGAAAAAAATTTAAATCCTATAGAAAATTTTAACAAGTCTGTTTTTGAAGAGATGCGCCGTATTCGCACTTTAAAATGAACGGATACAAAGACGGTTGTATTTGACGAGAGACCATGCAAAATCCATTTGGAAACTCTCATAATATCCAAGAGCATATGAAAATCCTACATGTACCAATTATTATGTGTGAATTACTAGTATGTTTAAAGTAATAAAAGTAACGGAATATGATCAAAATTAAGTTATAAATTATTTTTAAATTATATTATGTTGTCACTTTACACAATGTTGCATTATAAGAATGTGACCTTAATATTTGCGAAAAACTACGTGAGTTTGAAAAGTGCTTTGAGCTGTATACGCTCCGTATGAGGTGATGAAGTATACTGCTGCATAAGTAAGGGAAATTGACGATAGAAAAGTTTAAGTAATCACGTTTATCATATAGCTTGGTTGTTAGATTACCATTTACGTCTTATCTAAGAAAATGGAACAAATGTGTCCGACTCTGTGGTATCTCTTATCTCTCTAGAGCTAAGCTCTCCAGGATATATCGTATCGAGTATCGACGTAGGAATGGAAATTAGCATTGTTAATTGACAATTCGTTGTCGATATATCTAAATGTCGAGTTGAAGGCCACGGCAAGTGTTTTCTTCTTTTCCCGCATAAGATTTTGCACAAATTCTGCTTCATGTGAATACAAAGCAAAATAATACAACAATACAAAAATAGGTCTGTTAATGACGAAGCGCAATTGGTACCCATGGTAATTCCAGTAGAATTTTGGAAGACCAGGTCTCCAAAACCACATAGATATTGTCAATCAGAAACTCTTGCATCTTTTTATGTAAACTTCAGAGTTCTTGTGTGTGCAATCACACAAGATCTTTCTTTTACGAATAGTAAAATTTCATAACCTAAGGTTATTTGAGTAATGTCTATCAACATACTAGTGTCTGAAATATGAAAGTTTGGTCACGTGACTAAAATTCTACTTCATAAATGTTGGTAATCAAGATTTATAGTGCAAGTATTTATTTTGGTCTGTTAACAGATGTAATAAAAAATATTAATGTGTCACTTTAAAATCTATTGCAATTAAGGGTTCAATAATTAAAATGAATAAGGGTTTGGTTTTATCAACAGCAGATGTTTACTCTGTTTATATGCCCTGTTAACATAGTTGCTTTGCTTGTTGATTTATTTTTTACCGATTGCTGTTCGTTTCCTTAATTTTTTTAAATTGTGTAAACTCACCAAGAATATTTTGCATCAGTATATTGAAATGTAGTGAGGCTTATGTCAGAATTTCAGAGAATAAAACCGATTCTTTTAAAAGACCACACCAGACCTTGATTATGATTTATAAAAAATGTCATTTTGTTAAAGATTAACAAAACGAATTGGTCAAGTGAGAAACTCAGATGAATCCAAATAAAATCTGATTTGGGAATGATTACATTTATGACAGAAATGATTACCATGTAACCTGTCTTTACGCTGTTGACTGAATTATGCAAAAAAAGTGTGCAATATAATTTAAAATCCTGATATGATCTTCTTTTTCAAACCTCCACAATGTGATCACGAAAATTTATTATGACGTCATTCAAAATAATGTACTCACCAACAAATACGTAAATGACTACCGGATACGTCTGAATCGGTAAACAGAACAGGTTGTAAGCAAACTGTAAAACTTGGTATCTTCCGTAATTTCCTAAAGACCGTAAAATATTGTCTACATCCATTGTTATAAACTCCTAGACTATTGATGTGACCGAGATTAATGATATATTCAGTAGCATGTCCGAAGTAGGGATTCTGTTGTGTTAACGTCTGGTGGATAGTATTAATTGATCACCTTTATTCAGTTTTCACCTACTTTGGGATGATCTACAGGCTGTGATGAAATCAAATTATATACAATTTTCAATTCAAATCTTTATCTATGTATGAAGACGCACACATCTCGATTGCAAGATAAGTTGATAAATTAACAGAATAGTTTTTAAGTACTATTTTCTTTCAAAATGGAGGAAGACAACTCATTTATGAAAAAAAGTTTTTCCCCCTAAAAACTGATAATTCTATATCATACTATACTTGTGTGTCCTTTGCATGACAGCATAATTGTAGCATTTTCGATACAACTCTATTTGTCAACGAAAATGCCAACGCATCCCCTGGTCTCGGAGCAGCGAGACCGGTGTTTTTTTTATCGTACCAACTCCTACTCTGACTCATTTTTTAGGTCTTGTATTAAGAAATTGTAGCATTCAATCCTGATGCTAGACGGATGAAAAGCACTATGAAGGCCTAAATTTTACAGCTATGGGTACGTGAACGAAAATCAAACGTAGTGTCCGCAAAGAAGCTAGAGTTCTACCTCTACACTACCGTGCTTAAACTTCCTTCACATTAGGGGAATAAACGTATTATTCATTTGTCTCAGAGACAACAAATAAGTGAATTCCAGCCATCTTTATTTTTATTAATACACTCAAACTTCCACTTATGTGTCTGTTCCATTTTTCTAAATTTTTCAAGGATCATAAAATGAATTCCCATTTCTTTAAGAAAAAAATTCTCCATAATTATATGTCACTGCAAACATAAGAGACATTGGTATGGCTTGTTACAACGTTATAACATGCAGTGTCAAATAAAAAAAATTAATATGTCATCTATGAACATGTTTGTCATACATATACACATTTGTTTACTTACAAATTAGATCTACAAGAAAGGGAAAATTAGTCTTGTGATAATTTCTTCATCTGTACCACCTTAAAACATAACAAAATATTCTTTACATTACTTAATATATATGTATGTAAGTCAAAGAACTGGGTACGGTAAGTATGTAGTGCAATTGTGTATTTGCCGTCGGGTTCGGCGTCTCAATAATTACATTATGTTGTTCTAAAATTAAACTCTGAAGCTGACTAACGTGTTCTTGTCTTCTCCCGGGTTTTTGGAGCCACGTGGAGCCAAACTAGGACCCAAACCATTGCCAAAGCACCACATTGGTGTCAGAAGTGTTTATTAATATCATATATTTTGTGTATCCTTTTATTGTTTGGAGAAAACGCTGTTTCTCCGTGCTGAGCCAGACCAAGCTGTACCAGCAGTCCTTGGGACTGCTTTGTTCACTCATGCGTAAAATGACACTGAGTAACATGAAAGTTAAGTTGTTATTAAATTTTCAGAATTGTGTGAATGTTGATTTGTTTATTTTTCACAGTCAGAGGTTGTCTAAAAAACAAAACAAAAAATTTAAAAAAAAAAAATAAAAAAAAATTACTATACGTTCTTTATAAGTCATATATATTTACACAACTGTTATCGGTTTTGTGTCAAAAATAAAAACTCCAAATTGATGAGCTCAAAATGTCAGAACAAATTTTTATGGAAAATAAATCTTGATGTAGTGCCATTTTTCCTGTGAAAAGCTACCAGTACTCATTTCAGATAGCCTTGGAGATACATTGAGAATAACCTAATAATTTATTGAATTACAATGCAATTAACGTACCCACAATGTTTCCAGTGCTATCGACAAGGCAATACACGGGAATATAAACAATTATTTCCAGGAAACTAGACCACTTGTTGTTTATGTACTAAAAAATTGGGAGTGTGTGACATTACACAGAAATAAACATTTTAAAATATAAAAAATTGAGCAGCAATTACACTAAAGTCAAACTATTTACAGCACAATTCTTTGTTTCATATTAGAACATTTATTTTAAGACTCATAAAGTTTGTATAATCGAAAGGGTCATTAAAGTTCATTAACCATTCCTGTATACATAATAAAACACTTACATGACTCCCATCTTGGTTAGACATAGACATCCTGAATCTTTAATTATTCTCAAATCAAAGAAGCTTTACATAAAAGAATATGCAGTATTTGGCTTTATAAGACATATTGGTTATTTTACCCAGTTTCACTTGAGATAAGTGAAGCAGGGGTAAGGGTAGACAATAATTTTATACTTTCTTATTAAATACTTAGATACCTAGAGTATTTAAAATCAAGGTAGTGGATAGACGACAAAGTGACATCGTCAAAGAAAAAGGCATACACGTTGGTGCATGTTTATTCTTTTTTCTTCTTACAAAATTTGTGCAGAGGATTTTTCGGAGATGGCTCGATCGATTTTATCCAAATTTTTATGGTTGATGCATTGACATCTGAAGTTAATTCCGGCAAGTCCTTTTTTGGAAATTCCTTTTTAGTCGAGAGTTATCGCCCTTTGATCGAAATTTAGAGAACCTCCGTGTCTGTCACGTTACTCAAAAACGGCTAAAGCTAGAAAGCTGAATTTT